AGAAAAACAAAATAAAATATATTATCAAGGTCCATTTTGCAGAGCAAGGTTTTGCATGAAATCTAAGCATCAGTAGATAGCTCTAACCAGTAGTAGCACCTGAATAAATGTTTAAGTTAGCATAGGGAAATGTTTTTAAATTATGATGCAGTTATTTTTATTATAGATGTGAACTACTAAATGATGTATATTTATACAGAGCTTCAGGCTATACATTCCTGATCAATTTATTGTACTAGGAATAACTACAGAGGTGTGTCTGGAATCATGGGAATTACTGAAAGTGCTGGAAAACTATAAATGTTGTTTTCAGCTTTCAGAATGCTGTACATTTGTTTAAAATTTGTTTTAAATTTAACATTGCACAGATCATTTAATTCATTTTGTTGTTAGGCCACATGACTCTCTTTATGTCAACTGAACAGCTCAGTAAGTGAGATTATTTGTTTTGGTCCCAATCATGAGAGAAAAATTTAGGAGCTTTATTCAAAATAGAGTAGAGCACATGATAAAATCCTAACAAGATGTACAGAGAGGGGAAAATACAGCTAAGTCTGCCACTCGTTGGCAAGCACTGTGACATGATATAAAGTCTGCTTCTCTGAGTAAATGTTTTTCTTTCCCCCCCCGAACTTCGTGGTTGAGAAACTTGTGAGCAGCGCTGTATACAAGCATCAAGAAATTTTAGGTTTTATGAATGAGGATGGGCTTTGTAATCACAGTGGTGAATCTGGTTCATATCACAGAATTCAATGAGTCTGCTGCACATCACATTGTAGTTCTTCTACATTGCTGGGACTAGCAGCTCACTTGAATATAGATATGAAAATAACAGTTACTTCCTTTTAGATTTTAGAATCACTAAGAAAATTTCAGCATGAATTTATAATTTTTATGCAGCCCAGAACAGTAAATAGAAGGTTGAGGAGTGCTAGGTAACATTGTGCTGAATAGAGTTTGAATGCTACATGTACAGATAATTTAGTGGCAAAATCCACAACACATTTTTGAAGATGTTCAGCAAGCATAAACAAAAAATTCATTGAGTAACAGAGGGAGAGAGAAATGTGTGTATGCATTTATTTATTTATTTTCCAGAAGGAATACACATCTCCTTCTCTTGTAGATACAGATTGTGTTAGAAAAGACTACTTAAAGGACATTTGCAATATGATGCTTTTGCAGGAATGCTACATTTAAAAGAACTTTTAACCTTTTGCAGGAAACATCCTATGGAACGAGGATTTTCTAAAACTTGGAATAAAATACTGGCCATTATAAAGCCAACAAGACCTGTAAGTCAGGCATTGGAAAAAGATACGTGTGTTTGTGTAGAGAAGAGTCGTTTCCCAATATGCACTACCTACCGTTAAAGACCAAGTTACTCAGAGAGTTACTGGGGGCTCCACACATAGATGCAGTTTTCCAAATGGAGCCTCACAAGAGCAGAGTAGAGGGGGACAATCACCTCCCTGTCCCTACTGGCCACCCCTCTTTTGATGGAGCCCAGGATACCATTTGCCTTCTGAGCCACGAGGGCACACTGCTGGCTCGTGTTAAGTTTTTAATCTATCAAGATCCCCAGGTCCCTCTCCACAGGGCTGCTCTCAAGGACCACTCCTTCCAGTCTGTATGGATGCCTGGGATTCCTCCAGCCCAACTGCAGAACTCTGCACTTTGCTGTGTTGAACCTCATCAGGTTCACCCGGGCCCACGTTTCTAGCCTCTCGAGGTCCCTCTGAATGGCATCCCTTCCTTCATTGATGTTCTCTTTCAAACCAGTATCAAAACACTTTGGTATCAAATGTAGTTACCACAAAGTCTGGTGCTCAGACTTGAGGGCATGAAAGACCAAGTCCAAGGTTGCTGCTGTGACTCACAAAGGAGACTGTGAGGTCCCCAGGGGCCTGAGGGACCAGAGGTGGGAACAGTGAGGAGAAGCCTGGGAGCTGGCTGCAGGTCCAGCTAGGAGGAAGTTACCTGGGACCTAACACATTGCCATGGCTCTGCCAGCAGTGCCAAGGTGGGACCTCACTGGACAGCCTAAAAAGAGAAGAAGAAGAGGGAAGGAAGACTGTCTGATGTGACAGTCTTTTAGGGTGAGAATGCTCTCAGTGTAGACATCCAGTGACTTGTGATGCTGGTGATAGCAATAAGCAGTCTGCCTCGCCATCTGTTCAGCACATCATTGATCAATGACTGCATATAGTGCCTGTCAGATATCAAAACAATAAGTTAGGTCAGAAGTTAGTGCTCTGATTATATATTAGTTTATCATTTTTGTTCTAGCAAAGCTGGTATCTTGCAGGGCTGGCATCCAGTTTTCAAAAAAAAAGCATAAAATCCAAAGGATTTTAGAAAAAAATAGATTGGAAGTAGAGAAAGCCATTATGAATCCCCCAGTTGTATTCATTCCTCTAAACAATCATTAAAAACAGGCCAGATTGTTTTCTAAAGTGAATGTTTTCACTCTTCTGTATTAATAAGATACTGGGGCTGCTGCCTCCAGAAAAACTAACAGACATTTTTTCAAATCCTCCTTGACCTTCTTATAACAACTGCTGGTGAATAATTAGCAAGTTCATTAAGAAGTTACACATGATTTTATTGAGGCAAACAATTCTGAATCAAAGAATGCAATTTGCAGATCTAGGTTGAAGCACATAATTGGCATGTATTTTAGGATTGCTGTTAAAGCTATAAAAAAGATTTACTAGGGAAGGAATGGATCCAAAAACCCTAAAGGAGGGAATATGTTACTCATGTAACTCAGTGTTACAAATGGATTCATTTAATACTAAAGTCTTATCTACTTTAAAACAAAAGGAAAGAAAATAAAAACAAATGCAAATCCCTTTTATTAACTTTTCAGTTAGAAATAGACCTTGTGTTTCTTCATCCGAAACAAAGAAAATACATACTTTTTTCATGTATTTTGTTATGATTTTCGGTATTGCTGTCAAAGATGCATTTTTAATAAATCATTTTAATTTTGTTGAGAAATTGATAAAGTATAATTGTAAAGCCAAATTATGTAATATACTTTCATTGAGTTGTTGGCTGCACAGCAAGTGATTAATGCTGCCATTCTACAAGCACTTGTGCGTGTGCACGTAACTGGGAAGCTTGCGTATGTTCTGGAAGGGTAGGTTTGAGCATTTGCAGAGCAAGAGAGAAGGAAGGCACACTGTTCTGAGGATGCTATAGAAACAGTAATGCTTTGTTCTGAATTTATAAGTCAGCCAAATCTTGAAACTTGAGAAAAGCTTTGGGTTAAGAAAGCTTTCCTTTTGAAATATGTACATGAGAACAACTAATTTACTGGTGAATTTCTGCAAGATTTCCTGAAATAAATACATTTTTGGTTTGAAATGAGAGGTATAAATAATCAAGTTCTAAATATATTCATATTTGATTAGAGTCTACTTTCAATGATAATGTTAGTTGTTTGATTACTGCAGTGTAAAAGCTTCTGTAGCTGATATTACTGTTGGACTTGGTGCAATGACACTGAGGCATTTTCAACTATTAGCCTTCCCCAGAGTTTCAGACAAAATGTTATGCATCAGCTCTTATTTGAGCATAAGCCTATTGAATAGCATTCTCCTCTCTGCCAACTTGGCAGCACATTCTCCTGCTAATAAAAGAAGTTACCCCAGATAGAGATCCCAGATGTGCCTGAACTACTTTTATTAGGACTACGGAGAGGCTCAGTGTTTCCTTCTGACTGTTTTCAAAAAAGGTGTGGGCTTGCTTTCATAACTACCCAAAGAATTGTATTACATCATTTGATTTTTTTTTTTCCTCAAAGTGAATAAAACTTTAGATGTGTTAGCACAGAACACAGCTTAGGAAATACTGATGTTAAACAATAAATGTCTTTTGTCCCAATATAAGCATTGATTTGATCCTACTGAATTCTGGTGAGAAAGAAAACACTACTGCTTAACACTGAGTTAAAAATATCTTCACACCTCTGTATTTTAATAAGAGCTGGTGTGATAATCAGAATAACTAACAATAAATGTTTCTATGAGCAGCGGTTATTACTTTTTCAAAACAAATGTATATATGGAGAAAACATTTGCTGATTAGAATTCTTATTATACATAGTAATAAAGCCAATTTACCAATTGCCTGATAGAAGGCTCTTGCAGGCTGGAATTGATTGTATCAGTGTTTGTTTTGTTTGTTGGTTGGTTTGAATTCTATGTAGTAATCTCAACAAAAGATATTTTACTGCAAAAGATGTATTCAAAATTTATCCATACTATTTCATTGAATGTCTTGCCTGCAGTTTTAAAACTGCAAGAAGTAGTATAATCTAACTGGGATATTGAATAAAATAATATACTACAAATATATATGTTGCTCTTATTGTTGCTATTCAAAAATTGTAAATAAAAATATGTTTACAACCATAAGTCAAAATCTTGATTTTTCTTTCCAGGCCTTTCTGTTGAAATTTTTATTATCAAAATATGAAACAGTTTTAATTAAAATAATCCCTTGCTTTGTTTTATTATTTGTCTTCTTCATAAATTGTGAAAAATGGCCATTTCTCTGATTGATTTTAATTGTAACTGCATCAGATATAAAAAGAAGGAAACTGCACACTGGATACACGACAGTATTCCATTTCAGATTTTCAAAACCAGGGTTTGATTCAAGGTCTCCCATTAGTTTCAGTGGGCTTTGGATCAGGCACAGGGTTAGCAGCTTATTTTTCAAACAACTGGAAAGAGGTGTAAATGTCAAAGGTGATAGTTATACTGTGAGTTCCATAAACTACAAAAAAAGTTACTACTAAAGCTCTATTTTTCCTTAGTTTAACAGCTTCTATGAAAACAGTGTTAATAAGTATATCAGGAACAGTATATAATAATGAATCAGATATGTAAACAGACCTTTAAAACTCCTTTTATATAATAATTGGAAAGTTAAAAGTGACTTAAAATCCCTAACTTCTCATGCTGTGATGTAAATTGTATTTTTTTTAGGTTCCAAATTCAAAGAGGGAAAACTGATCCTACCAGTTACAAGAACCTGGGGGACTGTTTTAGGACTATTTTCCAGAGAGAAGGGTAAGAGTATATGTTTTTTGAATTGTCAATTTTATGTGACCTTTTTTAATCACCCATTTTCCAGACATTAGATCCTCTTTATATTCCACTCTTTATGCAACTGCCAGAATTCAGCAAACATTTAGTCTTACGTAATGATCATAATGTAAAAAGCCCTACCACTGCTTACACTCTCAATCCCAAATTTTGCCATTAGGATATGTTTAAAGACTGTGATGAACAGCTGTGCAGAGATAATTGAGTAAACTCTGCTTCAGTGCTAGGAGCTGGAAGGCCACAGCAGTGCATTTCAGTGTCTAGGTTCTTATATCCTGTTTTCCTGGTTTTCTGAACTAGCTCTGCCTGAGCTTGAGTTGAGTGAAGTGCTTGTTTCCTAGCTCTGATGAACAGGTATTCCCAGTTAGCTGTGGTATGCAGTGATTCCAAGACCTCTGTGAGTAAAATTCCACAAGTTTTCAATTGGACAGAATATAGAAGAGGATTTATGGGCCGTAGTCACCTGAATCGAACTGGCTTCAGAAGGTACCACCACTCTCTGAGTCACAGCTCCTCTGAGGGATATGGGCTCAGATCCAGAGCAGCATTTAAATACACGCTTAATTTTATGGGCAGTCCTGTTAAAGCCAGTGAATGTAATGGGACTGATCACATGCTTAGTTAAGCCTGTTATCCACAGGAGCTCTTCAGGAGCTAGCCTTTAATCAAGGTGGCTCTAATTAGTCAATCCCAGTTTGGAGTAGCTAGTAGACTTTCCGTAAGAACTTTGCAAACATAATTGCAACCTTTTTTTGTCCATATATTGATCAAAATGGAGTTGTGCTCATAAAGAGCACTATAGGTACCACATGTGGAGGCAGCATTAATGCAGCAGGGCACAGATTTCTGGTGTCCAGAAGTTGCACTGGAAAAGCAGAGGCAAAAGTAGCAGTGAAAATGAAGAACTAGACCCATTTTTTTTCTTGTAATGATAATTAGCTAAATAACACTACGTACGTACATAGATATAGAATTAGATTTGAATTGCTAAGGAGAAATGTAGAGATGTTTCACTAAGGTGTTAAGGGGGGGGAATTGTCACATTTGCCCTTATCAGTGGTAGATTTATTTCTGATGAAAGACTAATGCTGTGCATTATACCTACAAGGTGCTGAAAAGTCCCAAAGCTAAAAGGATCACAAAAATTATAATCTGTGGCTTCTGGGGTTTTCTAAATTGAGTATGCTCCTTCCAGAAAGATTTTTTAAATGTTTTCTCTATGGAAAAGCAGTAACATTTATTTTCATGTCAATATAACTTTTTTTTTCAGAATAGATTCAAAATTAAAACAGTGAACATTAAGTCAAACTCACTATTATTTTTTATATTATTGACAAGTCTCAAAATGTAAAATTAGTGATGGGGAGACGTATCTGGAGAAAGAGTCTAAATCAAGAGACTGCTTCCAAGCTAATTTATTTAGGATCTTGCTTTATTGCCTATGTGATTATATTGTGTAATTAAATATTTGTAAAACCCACATGCATAAAATACTAGTAAGATGCTGCAAGTCTCAATGTACCATGTAAGATATAATTGCCTTATTAATTTTGAGGGAAAAGGAAATAAATGCTTTATCTTTCATTTTTTTTATATGTTCTGCTTTTCAAATGCTTCTTAGAGGTAGAGCTATGTCCATTGCATGGATTTGATTTTGTTTTCACTTTCCCAATGGTCAGTGTGATGTGTCACTATGCTACGTAACACACATTAACTTTTTGACTCTGGAGAAATGTTGAAGGGTCTTAGTACAGTAATCATCTATGAATGAGCTTCAGAGAGGAAAGATGAATGCTGTGGGCTTTTTTTCTGTGGAATGCTTATTGCCTCAATACTTGAACAAAACTAGAATTTTTTAAAATAAATTTATGAGTATCAAGGCTTGAAACTTTAACCAGGAATGAAAGATAATAACATGAAATTTTTATAGATTTAAATAACAACTGAGCAGGGGCTCGCACTAAACTTCCATCAGGGTAGAGCTAATGGAGATTTTTACTTACCAATTGCAATGTAGACTATACTGATGTAAATGAAAGGCAAATTCTTCTGAGTAGCTACTTTTGTCCAGAAAGTTAGAGACAGAAAGTTACATAAAATTAGTCATCAGTAGTCAGCACAAGGCAAAAAATAGGAGATCTCAGATGTAATATAGTCTTAAAAGTTGGCTAACAAAAAACAGAAGTAATCAACAGACATACTTGTCTGAATCTTCAAGTCTGTTATTCCAGACTGTGTAAGTTGTCCGGATTCTGAAGCTTGGTGATTGTGACACTTCAAGGGAAATGAGGGAGATTATTTTAAATCTTTAAGTTAGTGAAAACCTTAAAGCCAAATATCCTCTCCTTGTCCAGCCAGTAAATTATACAGAAGAGAGCACCAGAAAGGGTTTCATTTTCAGATATCAAGCAAACAAAAACAACACATGAGGTATCCAGATTTGAGTGTGTAAATCTCAGGGAGTTCATCAAATGAAATGATGCCCCATGTCCATTCCATAATAACTGCCACTCATCATTTTTATCACAGTAACAATCTGATATTTTCATGGAAAACTCATCAGAAATGGTGGCCAGGATTTCTTTAACCATTTAACCATGTTCTCCGTGTTCTAATGAAAAGGGCAGAGAAAATGTTTCCAATCCAACCACTAATGAAATAGTGTCCTTTCCAAAGATTCTGAAGATTCCTTTTTTTTTTCACAAAACACTAGAAATTTCATAAAGAAAAAAATGCAGGGAAGAAACAAACAAACAAACGAACAAACAAAAACCTACAGAAGCTCTCTTCCCGCAGCTCCCAAACTTTGGTGAGCATTTTGAATGGGAGTAAATCTCCTCCATGGGGATTCATCCCTTGAAACTCTTTTCTTGTCTTACAAGAAAATGGGGGCAACAAAACATAAAATTTAATTGAGAAATTAATTAATTCACTGAAGAAAAGCTGGACAACATCTCCATGAATCCTCTCTGAACAAACTCTGCTCAGCTATGTTCACTAGGAGCCTTTCCTCTGCATTTCTCTGGTTTCACTTACGAGATGCTGCATGTATTGACAGATCTTTGAAAGCAGAGGTAAAACCACCAGGAGTATATCTGTTTATTGAGGGGTGACAACTTTATAGTCAACATAAAAATAATCTGATGTTTATTGAGGAAAATGTTTGGATAGAGGATTAACTGAAACCATTAATAGTGAAAACTTTCATTCTTTTTAGGGCCTACAAATAAGAGATAGACAATGTTAGATGACTGATTTTTGTATTGTATTGTTGACATTTTCACTACATTTGTATTCACTTGCTTCTTTGATAATGACTTAGATATGAATATGAAATGTAAGAATAAGCCAACAGTATAGCTTTATATTAAAGACATAATGGTGTTGTGTCTTGTATTAGGAATGGAAAACTATGCTCATCAGCACTATCTTAATTTAGAGTAGCACTAAAATGATAGATGCCGTTATTTTGGGTCTGTAAACAACTTTGTTCATATAAACTTACATTTTCATGGGCTCATAATTTTAACAGTAAGTGTTCTGGCTTACAGTTGGCTTTTTTGATAGGTACTTAGTAAGGAAACTTGTTACTTTTCTCATACGTTGGTTAGATTGCCTGGAACAGAAAGGGTAGTAGAATCCTAGTTTCTAGTTTCATAACTCAATATTTTAGTAAGTTTAAAGCGCTGTTAGCTTTTCTTAGGACTAAGATGGTTGTGGGAAACTACAGAACACCATGATTATTGATCTGATTTGAGATCTCATTACTTCTGCTGAGTTATTTGATTATTCATATTGAATTTGGTTTGGAAAGGAGCCTCCCAATAAAACAACAACATCATCAACAACAAAAAAAAGCCCAATGAGCTTTACAACTATTTCTGTCTTTTCAGAGTGGTCTTACCACTCAGTTGTACCTATAAGTGCCTTATATGACCACACACCTTTCTTTTACTAAGCTGCACCCTGACTCATACATTAGTGAGATTAGGCTTTAAAGCTGCATGAAACTTTTTAGTTATGGGTGTAGCAGGTGGGAGAACAGCCAAGGCTAAGCAGGAGCTGAATGAATGCTAAGTTGTCAGCAAACATGCAGAAGCTAGAGGATTCCTGGCTTATGTGTTACCAGCAATAATTCATTGATTAAGGAATTTGCTAACACTCCCATTTGTCCTGTTGCTACCCCTTGGATATCTATTGTGGTGATCAGTGCTGAAGCCCTGCTCCAGGTAGGGAGTGGATGATACTCTGTTTCTTCTAATTGCCAGCAGGCAGGGAAGGAGGGGTTGCAGGACTGTCAGCGCTGCAAACCAGTTCTGATCTCTGATACCAGAACTCATCGCTGCCCATTCCTGGGGCCCAGCTGTATTGTCTGCTCTTCCAGCTGGGCTGAGGAGGCATATCAACAGGCTGCCAAATAAATGTTATACAACATACAAATGCTTAGCTACTTTGTGCAAGAATCTTTCAATGAAATTGCCTACCAGGGAACTGTGATGTGGTTAATCGTGCCAAAAATCCCTTTTCCCATCTAGCAGTTATGAAGCAGAAATCCATTTATACATACTGGATGCATAAATTCCTGCAGTATCAAAAGACCAGAGTTCAGACTCTGACTGAAGTGCTCTGAAGTAAACAGAAGTGGTAGATTAAGGTGTTTCCTGCCGCAGATATCTGCCCCACTCTTTGGTTTCATTTTAACACCTATACCATGAGGAGCAGAGGTGAACTGGGACTTGTGCTTAATCACTGCTTTCTGGAACCTGATTCCTTCACACAGACCCACCTGCATCAGCACTTGACTGTATTCTTGCCAGCTGAAGGCGCGTTTTCTCTACTGCCCCTTACTACAGGGACAGAAACTTCCACATGAATGCTTAGAAAGTGCTGCTAGTGCTTACACCTCAGAAATATATATACATACATGAATCTCTTTTCTAGTCTTACATGTCTGCCCTAGAAAC